TACGGTTAAATCTGCCTGGTCCCTTCTCCCTACAGCACCTCCTAGCTATGCAGAAGTGGTCACGGAGGAACAGAGGCAGTCCAGCCTTGCACCCATAGGTGTTTGTGATGACTTTGAGAGAGCGCTTCCAGGACCATTGTTTGCATACATCCAGGAGTTCCGTTTTTTGCCTCCGCCCCTCTATTCAGAAGTAGGTGCCTCAGAATGTGATGATTCATTCACTGTTGTTTTTCTGATTTCTGTATGGTGGTATAAAAGTCTTCTCCTTCCTAAAATCAGGAGAAACCACTAAAAGGATGAATAGGGGATAAGGCAAATTTTTTTTTTTTTTTTTTGGCAAAGTGCCAGGTGAATTGTATCAACAGTTTTTAGGATTCTTCACAATACTAAAATTTTGTAGAAATTTCTAAATGGTCATGTCCCTTACTGACTTCATTAATTACATATATATATGTGTTACGTACATATAATGTTGCATTGGTGAACACAACATTTTGGGTCTGTATACGCACAACGTGTTTTTCAGTTCTAGTTCTGAAACAGCTGTGAGGCTTTTTTTGCTTCTGTGAATGCTGTGCTTTCAGAAGTTCCATGCAGAGAAATTACAACAGCATTTTTGAGACCTGGGTTTCTGAGGGTACACAGTTCAACACTTAACTGAGTGTGAAAGCCACTCAGTAGCTGTGACATAACTTCAAAAACTTTCCATGTTGATGTATTTCTGGTAAAAGCAGTGGTGCAGGACAAAAGTAAAATAGTATCCTTTGGCTAAATCTTGCCTGAATTTACCCACTGTGTTTTTTGGGCTTTTTGTGGGTTGTTTTTTTGTGGGGTTTTTTTTTTTTTTTTTTTTCCCCCTCAAAACACTACTCTGCTGTTGAGTGGGCAGAGTGGCATCATTTTTGTATGCCAGAGACTTCTTCTAGGACTCTCCTGTAGCTGAATCTTAGAATACAACTCAAGTCCTTTTCATTTTAGGTACTTAAAGAATTAGCCTTTCTTTGTCCTCAAAAAATGGTTGTGTAAAATTAAATTATCAGAATAGTCCACTTAAACTATTCTTACTAACCAGTTTTGGAGACCTGAGTTAGCAGGTTGTTGTTCTTCCTTTTACAGAAAGGAGAAGAGGTAAGGTATGGAACAAATAAACTTCTAAGACATTTTATGGGGTGCTTAAGGATTATAATTTGAAACCAGAATAACTTTTTACTGATAATTGTCTTTCGAAGCAAAGCATTTTCTGAAATCAATGGAATCATTTTAAGTTACATTTTTAGTGATGAGCAAAGTTGTCTTAGTGTACAGTAAATAATGCAAGACTTCTGTGCTACTAAAGTAGGTTTTTCAAGTATTTTATTAGTTCTTTGTGCTTATCCTTAAATTACTATCAACTCCTAGCTTAAAATTTTTCACTATACTTCCATTCAAAGTTTTCTCTAATTGACAAGAGGGTTAAGAGTTACTTTGGAGTAACTTTTGGATTGGGAATGTCATTTATTACTGTGATTGTCTTAACCACACCAAAAGTGACAAGTTTGTGCTTGGATTGGTTTATTTCTAGCAGTTAACTCTAAAAATGCCTTGTTGTTCCTCCCCTCTGCTTTTTGTTAGATTGATCCAAACCCAGATCAGCCCACAGATGACAGACCATCCTGCCCCTCTCGTTGACGGACTCCATGAAGAGCTGACTCGACTTGGGTTTTGAATCATACCTGCCGTGTTGAAGGTCAAGGCGTCATAGTGGAGACACCCTTTTAGAGGAAGTGGGTTTGCTGTTGCGTGTATGGTGAATAAATGAAAACAACCTGTGATCATGCTTTGAAGCCTACAGTAACATTGTAGGACTGCTCCACATGCTTGAAGACCTGAGCTGTTTTTCTCCCCTTCTCTCTCTCCCTACTCCCCCTTGCCTCCCCTGCCTTCCTTCTCCTTAAATACTGGCACATACTAGGAGCAGCCTTACTAACTAACCTACAGTCATGTGTGTCAAAACACTTAAACCACGTTGTAAGTGAGGAATGGCTTCCTCTTATGATTTGGAGATTTGCACATGCTCATTGCTTACATTGTGCGGTTCAGTGTCACTACAGCTTTTTCTCATTTATGCTGGACTTTTGTTAACCCCCTCTTTCCTTTGTGGTCCGCACAATAAGGAGCAAAAGAAACCTTTGACAAAAAAAGACAAAAAAAAAAAAGAGAAAACAACAGCAACAGACTTTGACAAATGCACTGACTTTACTTTTTTTTTAATTTAATGTAGCCTGGACTTTATCTGCATATGCACATGCTCAGAATTGTCCTAGTGGGCTGATCATGTATCACCTCTTCAGCTTGGATCCTATTGTGGATTTATTTACAAACATCAAATGCCTTCAAGCCAATCCTTCTTGCTGTATGTTTTGCAGCCTACTGTAGTAGATAAGCAACAGATGTGGGGCTGGGGTGGGCGGGTGGAGAGTTAATAGAAACTGATAGACTTCATCAAGATTGTATACCTTCTTGATTACTTTTAAGAATTTGTTGCCTTTCTACTATTATCGCAAAGCAGCATTTTGTTACAGACTGCCTAAAAATCACTTAATCTCAGGTGAACTCATCACTTGCCAAACTGTTGGAATGCTATTTGTTTTGTTATGTTGCACTGTTGAGTTACTACTTTTTTTTTGTGTGTGTGTTTGTGTTTTGGTTTTGTTCTTTCTTTGAGAGGGGGATCTGGAATAGGGACATACACAAAAGTTAGAAACCCCACCCTCATTCCCATTTCTCTTTCTAAACCATGAAAAAGGATGTCGTAGTTGTGAAGCTTTAAAAAAATAAAGGCACAGATGAAAGCAATGCCAGCAGGTACCAGCTCAACCCTGAAAGTTCTAAAAGGAAATAGTCATACACTGTCTAGGGTTCATAGACAGCTTGATATTTCAAGTAGTAGGGAGGGGAAGGGAAAGCAAATTTATTTTTATATATAGTTACCTAATCACCAAAAATTCTATATGTAGTGAGTCTCTAGAAGAAAGTATATTTCAAACTGCAGGAAAAGCTTGGACTATGCTAAGAGCTCAGTTTGTGCACTTTGTATTATCTTCAGGGTTTATGATACTGTAAGAATAGTAAGACTAGAAGAACAATCAAACTGGGCAAGATCAGTGTTACCAGCCATACTCAGAAATGAATTAGCTAGAATTGTTTCTATTTCTTCTTCTGTGGTACTCTGAAGAGTTTTAAAACAAGCAGAGCAAAGAATTTTGCTGTATATTCACCCACAATACAAGAAATCATAAGGAAAGAGTACTTGCTATTGAGTTGTGCCCCAAGGAAGAAGAGAGTGCTGTGGAGCCAATAGATGTGCTAACACAAATACCAGCATTTAAATGCTAGAGATTTACAACAAAAGTCAACTTTCCTTTTCATAAATAGCGTAACACAGACCACTGACAAAGGGATGGGCTTCTAGTCTTGACTACTTAAATCAAGATGTCATCTATCAACTATCTATCTCCTTGTGCAATAAAACAGCTCATAAGGGAGAAGGGAGGCTGGTGTTGCTGTGTGGTGCTCATTCTTAAAAACCTCTGCCTTGTTTTTTAAGGCTTCATAAATGCAACAAAATAGGCTTTTCCATAAGTGGCCTTCATGAGAACATGAACATGAATTCATGTTTCAAAAATGACAACAGGGTTATAAAATACAAATGAGTCACGTTTTAAGTGATTCAGTTAAAAGGCTTCTGGCTTTGAGCAAGAGTATTGGGCAAGAAGGAAATCTGGTGGTATCTTACATGTTACTAGGCCAATTTTGTGAATGTCCCTTTCCTCTACCCTCTCCAGCCAGACAATTTAAAATTGATGGGATTGTTGGCATCAAAGGGCATTTGGTGGTTTTACTTTCTTTTCCTTTTTTTGTTACTTTAACAGACTAGGGAACAATTGCTGATACACATAGCATTAAAGTACTTGCCACAGTATAATGGAAAATTGCATATAAAGCAGGATTGACCAATATCATAGTAATTGACATGGCATCACAGCCTTTGTGCTTAGAGCGAAAAATTCTGTAAGCTTATCAAATCAAGACTTTTCAGTTAAAATTACATTGTAGTTATTTAGAGGCATGACTCTTGCACAAGTATTGGTCAATTCTCAGCATTATAAAACACGAGGTTCACAGTTGTAGCCCAGTATTTGATAGAGAATTCTGATCTGAATTAGGAAAAAGTAAGTAAAATCCAAACATTAGAGAAACAAAGTGCAATATTAAATGTTTGCTTTATAGATTATATTCTATGGCTGTTTGTACTTCTTTTTTGTTTTGTTTTTAGTTTTGGTGCTGAATATGTCCTTGTAGACTCTGTTCAAGAAAACAATGTGTGGAAAACAGTTTAATTTTTCCTGTTGCTCTTCGTTGTGGAAAATAAACTTTTTTTTTTTTTTTAAAAAACTCTCATGAATGCCCTAGCTATAAAATAACAACCGCAAGGATCACACAACACAAGAACTTACTCGAGGAACGCGTATACACTACCTGTCTGAAGCTGCATAGGGTGAAGCTCCTAGAACTAAGCACCACGTCATTTCAGTACTCTCAGCCCATATTATTTACCCTGGTGAGTGCGTGAGGCTAGGTCCCGGGTGGGAGATCACATATTCCTCTGTGGGGAGGTGCCAGCAAGAGCCAGGAGGTCCATACCTGTCTGTATCTCATTGCTGCTGTAGCGGGCAAGCCTCCTTCCAGGCATCTGGTCCTTTACACCATGTAGGGCTTGAGGGCTGGGACAGGGCTCTGTGAAAGGAGATCAGGGAAGGGGAGTGCCTTCACAGGTCTGGTTTGCAGCTGGGACTCAAAAGTGGTTTGGCAGCATGGGGTTGAGCAGGTGCCTGTGGCAGTTCCCTGGGAACACACGGTGTGACCAGATGTTGAAGGGATCTGATCCATGGCTTGCCTGTTGGAACTCAGTGGAGTGTTTGTGAAGCTCCCTGGCCGTGATGTGCTGCTGTGGCATGTTTCTTCACATGCAGTTGAACCCTGACCAAAACTGATTGTTGTCACCCTGTGGTATCACTGTTGTTTGACCTAAGAGAAGGCTCAGCAGGCGAGCAGCCAGTGGCTGAAGAGCCACGTTCTCTCCATTTGTGATCATGCTGCTGGGGACCATTGTCCCCCCATGGTACTGAGCCCTCAGTTCAGTTGGTGGAGACAGTCCAAGCACCTGATCTAACACCTTGCGTAACACTGTAGGACCTGCCTCTCTGAAACATCACATTGCAACTTAATTTTAACTGTAAATGTTGGTGAATCAGGCACACTTTTTAGGGCTTTTCCCCCTATTAACATTTTTAACTGAGTTCTGGTTCAAACCAATAAGAAACCAGGAGTTTTGTCTCTCATTTTGCTCATTGACTTTGAGGTCTTTCATAGCTACGTGACAATGAGAACGTATTCTTTTCCCAATACCAGCACAACCCTTCCCAGTACCTAAGTTTCTAAATCTGCATGGCAGTGCTAGAATTTAAATTAACATCAGCATCATTTGAGGTACACACACTTCAAGCAGTTCTGTGCAAGTTTTCTTGAAATAAATACCTCTACGTCGCAATTAAGCTTAGTTTTATTGCATTTGTTTATGTATATGTATTTACATGTTTAACATTATTGCAGAGTTGGGAGTTACCAGTTTTATTGAGATCAGATTTGCTTTTTTTCTAATGCAAATGTTTCTGAATGTTAAAATACCCATTCATGCATACAAGTCTGTGCTACACCAGGGTGCAAAGCTAACAGGTCTTCCACATCAGCTGTCCATGAAAATGTACAGAAGGGTTGCAAGTTACTACACTTCTGCCTCTGAGAGGCATAAGCCACGTTGCAAGACTGATCAACACCTTTTCTGGCAATTATTAAGCTAATACATGTACATAGTGCTTTTTAATCTCTTTCTAGATTTAAGCCTTTCGGTGTTTTACAGAAATGAACCACTGACGTGCCATCAGCTCCGGCCACCTTAGCTTCCCATGAGCAGGAAGCCAGGCACAGGACTGAGGAAGGGTCTCCAGAAGCAGCATGTGAAGCTGGGCATCCGCCCAATAGCAGCTTCCCACAGGAACACATCTTTGCTCAGGTGAATGCTGCTACAACTCCTGGGACTGGAGGTACATGGCTATGGGCAACTCTACAGAGAGTCAGGTGCCCAACATAGGTTTTCAGTAGGGTGGTGTTGCAGGAGAATGACTGCACCTGGGGGTATTGAGTCCAGACTTTCCACATGGTGTGGATTTTGAACAGAGAGCCGCTTCAGAGGTCCCCAGAGACTTGGGGAGACGGCAGGAGTTGTGTTATATGAGTGTTACCTATTTCAGGTCCTAGATTTTGTGGTTCATTAGTGAAAGCCACTTGCAAAGGACATTGTCAGGCACATTCCACGTGCCCTCCAGACCATGCCCTGGAAACAGGAGAAGAGTAACCTATTTCTCCCCCACCTAGCTACAGCATGCTATTCTTAGAGCTGGATCTCCATATCTCCTGAGCTAGTGGACGTGAGGACAGAGCTGTAGCTTCTGAGTGGAAGCCAGGTGCTGCCACGAAATCCGAGTTAGAGAGTGTAACTTTCATCTAATCCAGCTCCAGATTCAGAGTTCAGAAGGACACTGCGTTTAGAGTGCTTTGGGCACCATGCTGTAATAAATATTTGTCATATTCGGATGAAAGACAATGACTTAGAGCAGAGAATGCCAGTGTTTTAGATATAACATAAAAAGTTAGTTGTTTAGGGGATGTATTTTCATGGGGGTAAGGATATGCAATTTAAAATAAAAAGCACATCTATAAACTAATAACAAAGTGGAAGCCTAGCACT